ATTCAGTACGTCTGTAGTAAGTCCTAAGAACTGGCATTTTCTCAAGTTCCTAAGTGATACTGATGCTGCAATTTGGGACCACACTTTGAGAACCACTGATCTAATACACAGTTTAAGTGCTAGGAAGGAAGGAGGGTGGAAGGAGGTTATAAGAAAACATAAGAACTTAATCCCAGGCAAACATTAGGTTTCAGAGAAAAAAATGACCCTTGGATGACATTTTTATCTTATTTTTTGTTTTATTAATAATTTATTTACTTTTTAATTTACATCCAAGTTAGTTAGCATATGGTGCAACAGTGATTTCAGGAGTGGATTCCTTAATGCCCCTTACCCACTTAGCCCATCCCTCCTCCCACAACCCCTCCAGCAACGCTCTGTTTGTTCTCTATATTTAAGAGTCTCTTCTGTTTTGTCCCCTCCCTGTTCTTGTATTATTTTTGCTTCCCTTCCCATATGTTCATCTGTTTTGTATCTTAAAGTCCTCATAAAACATTTGACGTTTTTAAAAATAACAGATCAGAATGACAGAATTTTAGAACTGTTCAGTGCAAGATTAGTCCTTTACGTAATTTTTAGTGGGTAAAATTTCTTTAATATAATTCTGCCATTCTACCACCTTTTCAACAAACTTCTTTTAAGCAGTTCCATTTCCTCACCGATTTGTTCATAAGCCAAGTGATACTCACAATGGTTTGCAAACGTTGACTTACAATTTACATCTTAGCTGCCAGCATCAGAAACAGTGTGAGGAGCTATTTGTTGCTGACTCCTGGAAAAAGAACTAGCTGGAAGTCACGGAAAACAGAGAGAAGAGATTTCTCAAGCCCACTGGTAACTGTTATAGGCAATGTGGATTACACAGGTATATGACATTTATATATTAAGCCACAGAATTAAAGTACAAATTTTTCAAAAATCGATATTTTTTTTTAATGTTTGTTTATTTTTGAGAAAGAGCCCGAGTACAAGCCGGGGAGGGGCAGAGAGAGACGGAGACACAGAATTCGAAGCAGGCTCCGGGTTCTGAACTATCAGCACAGAGCCCAATGTGGGGCTTGAACCTACAAGCTGTGAGATCATGACCAGAGCCAAAGTCAGACGCTTAACCAACTGAGTCACCCAGGGACCTCTAAAAATCACTATTTTTATTCACCCTTTATTATCCTGTGTTTCTTGAGCTTAATATTGGTTATTATTCAATCCAAACTCCCACTAGGGACTCTTCTTTAAACATAAATTTATTTTCTTTGGCCCCCTGCTGGCAGCACTTCACCCTGCTACTTTCCCTGAAAAATTGTAACCAGGCCCAACTTTTCACCCTCCTCTACAGCAATACTTCCCAATCTATCCTCATCAGTAAGAACATCTATTATGATCCCCTAGCTCTCTCATTTTGAAATATTTTGCAACTGTATTTATTGAACAGTTTTCCTATTTTTTTAATTTATTTTTGAAGGAGAGAGAGACAGACAGAGCATGAGCAGGGGAGGAGCAGGGAGAGAGAGGGAGACACAGAGTCCGAAGCAGGCTCCAGGCTCTGAGCTGTCAGCACAGAGCCCGACGTGGGGCTCAAACTCACGAACCGCAAGATCATGACCTGAGCAGAAGTCGGATGCTCAACCAACTGAGCCACCCAGGTGCCCTAATAATTTTCCTATTTTTAATTATGCACTTAACTACTGACCGGCATCTATAATTAGATAAGAGAATCAGGATTTTGTTGACAGCACTCAAGCCAGAAACAAAGAAATTTAATATTTTAGTCTTCCGGTGGGCTAAAGTTTCAGTTTTATTGGGCTATCTCAAACACTGAAACTCCCAAAGAATCTCAAGGACTACTGGAGTTCCTACCATCCTAAAAGCTGAGAAAACTAATTTTCTAACAAAGATTTGTTTTTTTAATCACTAGGGTACAGATCTGTCTTTATAGTCATTAGTCCAGAGTGTTTGTTTTTACCTTATAATTATTAGTTCAAAAATATAATCTATAGGGGCATCTGGGTGGCTCAGTCAGTTAAGCACCAGACTCTTGATTTCGGCTCAGGTCATGATCTCACGGTTCGTGAGTTGGGAGTTCCATGTCCAGCTCCTCGCTCACGGTGCAAAGCCTGCTGGGGATTCTCTCCCTCTCTCTCTGCCCTCCTCCCATCCCAAGCATGAGCGCACACACATGCTCTCTCCCTCAAAATAAATAAACTTTTAAAAAAATTTAATATACATAATCTATAATTTAAGGACAAATGCTAGCCTATCATCAGAGAGAACCAGCCAGGATCAGATTCGGTTTATGGTATTAATCCTAGCTAGCTTATAGCTCCTAGACTAACCCTGTGTAAATGCCTTGGTTTGTTTTTTTTCCCTTTTCAAATATATTCAACCTGGCTGAAAAGCCAGTCTGAAAGACAACTCAGCAGGGATCTTAGATAAAGCAGGAACTTTCTAGGTTGGAGATGAATGAACAAAGCATTTAAGAATAGAAAGAAAAGGGGCGCCTGGGTGGCGCAGTCGGTTGGGCGTCCGACTTCAGCCAGGTCACGATCTTGTGGTCCGTGAGTTCGAGCCCCGTGTCAGGCTCTGGGCTGATGGCTCGGAGCCTGGAGCCTGTTTCCGATTCTGTGTCTCCCTCTCTCTCTGCCCCTCCCCCGCTCATGCTCTGTCTCTCTCTGTCCCAAAAATAAATAAATACATGGAGAAAAAAAAAATTTTAAAAAAGAATAGATGTGTGGCGCATTTTTATTTTAAAATCTCCACTGAAAGTTGGGGGGGGGGGGGGGAGTTTGTTTACAAGTTGGTGGGCTTGTTCACTCCTGCTAAATGGAACAGCTTTCTCAGCTGAGGATCCTGTCACCCTGACGCATTACTGAACGCAGTGAAGCCTGACTTTGGATTCTGGTTTGGAACCCACCCACCCCTTCCGTCGTCTCAAGCCCTAGCTCTTCCTCAGAAATTTCAGTCTGCAGGTATCTGAAAAGTACTTATGGGTCACAGTAACAATGTCAACAATTTTACCAGCTTACTGCAATTTGAAGCCTGAAAAATCACATTTCACTTCAAATCACATTGGCCCCACCAATCTGCATGAATGATGTGATAAATTAAGAGGTTTAGAATTTCAGAAAGGTTACCTTACGATACTCGTAACAATCTGAAACCGATTTGCCGAAACAGCAGCTTTCTCTAAAATGCTTTGTGCTAGGCTTGCAGTGAAGCTTTCATTCTTAGCTATTATCTTTCAAGAAGCACTTTAACAGCTTGCTCCTCCTTCACAGGAATTATCCAGGCCACTCAGGTGAAAGAATAGCTTTCCTAAATGCAAAACAGTGCCTAGGTCAGTGGTTCCCAGCCTTGACTGCACATTAGAATCATCTGGGTAGCTTTTTAAAAATAACTATGCCCAGCCCTTTCTGATTAACTGGTATGGAAGGGGAACTTGGGCTCCCCAGATGATTGGAATGTACAGACAAGATTAAAAATCACTAGCCTACAAGAATGGCTTGGGCAGGGCGCCTAACAACACATTTCTTTTTAGGATCTTAATATGAGCCAAAGACTGTGATGCACACTCCTAAGTCCAAGAGCTGATAATCTTAAAAACAAAAAAAAAAACAAAAAAAAAACAAAAAAAACCAACAACAGGTAACAAATTATGTTTACGGAGTATTCTCGGAAAAATAAAATGTCCCATCTGTGGTCATTTTCACTGAAGCCACATTCACTTCATGCTATCAGGATAAGTTCTCCTAAGTCACATTTAGGCTCTATTAGTCACTGATATGTTTCAAAAATCCCAATATTTCAGTACTCAGACTGATCTCTCATACTGCCTCCTATACTTTGGACAGTACAAAAATTTTTGTCATATCATATTTTTACTTCTTGGTTTTGAAAAATAGTATCACCAGATCTACCATAACAGATGTCAACATCTTCCTTTTTTCCTGTCTAACCTTCAAAGACCACAAGTCCCTTTTTTCCATAAAGCCTTCCCAGCTCACTTTGGGCCTCAGTGATTTCTTCCTAATGTAAATTTCCAGTCCTGACCACATTTTTGACATCTGTTATACTGCTATTTTGCCTTTCATCCACTCTAGGCCTGTTTTCCTAAGCACTTCAGGGACAAGTACTGCGTGCGTGCGTGCGTGTGTGTGTGTGTGTGTGTGTGTATCAGTTTCCACAACAGGGCTAACAAATCTATGTTTGGGTTTCCATTATCGAGTTATAGCTTTCTGGCTCCCTTCACCTCTCCAACTCTTTTCATTGAGCTCTCCCCTCAACTCTAAAACTCCCTTTAACCCAACGAGGTCATCCTCCCTCCCAAGCATTCTTACCTATTATTGACTTCTGAATTTTAAGATTCTACAACGCCTGCTAAACAAAAACAACTAGATTCCTGTCCTTGGTGTTTTGTTTGTTTAGGCTCTTCTGTAAGTTTGTCTCCTTTACGATTTCCCTCTTCCCGCCCCGCAAAATCCATATTACACTTCTACCTGGATAACTTACACCAACCAGGCTTCCTTCCCACCAGCAGCCGGCCCTAACCAGTCTCATTCCCGCTTCGAGCGCACATTCGCCTTCCTAAGATGGCCGCCACGAACCCCGAGGAAGGCAGGGCGGGTTCCACCCACGCAAGGCCACTACTGTTCCGGAGACCCCCAGGAGCATGGGCTAAAAAAGGAGAATGGCGCGAGGCGGGGGAACCTGAAGAGCAGGAAGGGGCCAAGGCGGGGCCCACGGCGAGGGAAAGGAGGGTCCACGCAGCCCACGCTCCCGCGGAGCAGAGGCCAGCGTCACAGGAAGTGGGGGCCCCACCCTCCAACGTCAGGGGCCGGAAACGAGCGTTGCTGGGGCGCGGAGGTGGGGAGAAAGCCACTGTGGGGAGAGCGTGTCTCCACCAGGTAGGGAAGGCGAGGCCCGTCTGGTTTGGGGCCGCCGAACACCTCCCCTTTAGTGTGCTGGGACACCTTCGCCCTCTAATATCTTACTTTTTCCTCCCGTAGCCTTGGGACTGTGGGTTCCCGGCGCTGCTGTTGTGACTGCGCACCCCGAGGGCCTCTACCTCTTTTGTCTCCATTTTTTTAAGTTAACCACCTTCCCCCCCACCCCTTCTCGAGTTTAGTCTCCTTGCTTAAATCTACTCTGATTGTTTCGTTTAAAGGAAGAAAAACGATAGTTTTCCTGAGACCCCATCTCTGTTAAGAGTTTAACCGGTTGCTTCAGACTACATCCAGCCCCCCAAACTTGACTGCTTCACGTAATTTGTCCATTTCACCGCGGTCTAGTACTAGGGAAAAGGTAAAGAATCGCCTGTTAACAGTTCGTTACGGAAGATACTTCAGTGGATACGGCTGAATGATGAAGCTATGGATTCCAGGGCCCTTAGTCTACTGTAATTAGGCGTTCTGCCCCCAAAATTTACGGTGGCTTAAAAATCAAGGAACCTAATACTTGGTTCTTCCTTCCAAACCTCTTATTTTTTATTGAGAAAGTGTAAAGTATAAGTAAAACTTGTCAAAAGGCAGATCGGGATTTCTTAATCCAGATATGAAAAATATTTTTTACAACACTTTCACTAACAGTTGTCATTAAGAAATGGGCTCCACAGCAAATTTCTAAACTAGAGTTCCAGCTGATCACTTGTATTTCCTATCATAGATTCCAAGGCTGCTTATGTCATAGAATGGGGGGAAGGGGTGTAGAATTGTATGAAGGGCCAAAGCAGAGCTTGCTCTAGAGACAATAGCCGTAAATCTAGCCAATTTTGAGGAGTTTCCTATGAGAATGGCTTTATATAAATTTAGTTCTTCCCCATAATGATGTTTGTTTAATCACAATGCTAAATAGGGGGAGATCTTCAGTAGAAGAGGATCCAAACTACAGAACTATTTCCTATCCTTTAATCGTCTACATTTCTGGTGGAGAGTTGTACTTTTGTTACTGTGTTATCCATAAAGTGAACAGTTCTTAAGTCCTAACATTCAAAAGTTTTCCCTCAGTGGTACAGGGAATGAGTTCTAACTGGAGGCACTTAACCAAGTGTATCCATTTTAGCATAGGAGATTGGCAGGGGGGAAGGGAGGTGAAACATCACTGGAATAAGTGTGGCACTTCGCAGTCGTGCTTAGGAAAAGTCACAGAAATAATAAACTAGAATGGCTCTGGGCTTATTGGATCCATTAAGTGTGTACTTAAAGTAGACTGCCTTATCACCTGAATACAGTTTAAATTAGTAGTCATATTTGGTTTTTCTTAACTGTCTGTGAGCCCTAGAATTTATTCCAAGAGCGTGTGTTAGGCAAGCATGTTAAAATACTTCAAAGTAGTAAAGAATGCTTTAAAGGAGGGTAAATATTTGGGGGAACAGGACAGGCTTTCTTATATTGAACTTGGGTAGCTTCAATTTCAGTTCGATTCCCCTTTTTGGGACTTCCTTTGGTACATTTTTATTTCTGGTTACCTGAACCACTGCTTGTTTTTTCCCCCCTCAGCACTTGGATTCAGCTCCTTCATTTCCAACATGGAAGAAACTTACAGTATGTACTTCTTGTTGCTTTTAGAAAATAAGTTAAATTCTTTATATATAGTTTTATGTCTGACAAGAGTTTTAGTGTGTTGGGAAGAATTCACATTTCTCCCTAAACTGCTGAAGATGTCTATGTGGTAGGTAGTAGAGAAATACCCAAAGTTGAAATAAGACACTTGAAATTTATCAAGCTTTGAAAAGGCTGCAGTTGGGACAGCTGTGTTAAACTATATTTTTATTAAACGAAGCATTTTAATTTCTCAGGACTTCAGTTGCTCCTATTAAGGGGCTAGTAACCCCTGTTTTCTTTCTATTTTGAGGAATAATATTGTGTACATAATGATGTTGACGTACGTTGAATTTTTAGGATTTAAAGACATCCTAGGAAGAATTCTTAATTCTCAAGTGACCCAGGCACCTTACATGGCCCAAGAAGTCAAAAGGGAGTGAGCACCTAGAATCATACAAACGTAAAAACAAAAGAAACCTGAAAAATCATTTCATTTAACGTTCAGATTTTACCTACGAGAAAATAGAACCTGGGTTAACTGACTTTCCCAAGGTCACGTAGTAAGGGACAGAGTCCTATGTTTTTCATGTGTCATGCCATACTTGATACCATAAGGCACTATGGTTTCTAGGTCCTAACCAAGTTTAAAGAACCTCTGCATCAGTGAATGGATGAAACTTGTCAGCAGGGCCTGCTTTGTTTCTTACTTTGCTGTCTCGTTCAGAATGTCTTTAGAGTAAGTTCCAACGAAAGGATATTTTCGTTCCATTTTACCTTCAAGGAAGAGTTCAGTAGAATCTTTATTACCGATCTATAGAAACTACATGGAAATGGTCTTTATTAAATATCTACATCAGAGGTTTTCAGACTTTTGAGCATGCAGCAGAATCACCCAGGTTGCTTGTTAAAACTCAGATTGCTGGACTCAATCCCACAATTTCTCATTCAGAAGGTCTGGGACCCAAGAATTTGCAGTTCTGACATGATTTCAGGTGAGGCTGCTTGTCAGAGGACCACACTTTGAGAATCCCTGATCTAGAAAGCTGATTCTCTTTGGTCTTCCGTAGGGCTCCCTCCCCTACTCCCTTAATTTTTCTTAAAATATTATAATTTAAGCCTGGAATTCCATGTGAGATAGGCAGATAAATATTTATTTGTTCTTGGAAGCTTACTACTCTATTAAATTAGAAAGCAACAACTCCCCTTTATGTCTCTCATTCTTTACTTTTTTCAGCCGTATGTTTCTATTTTGCTTAGAAAAATATCACTTGGGAGTGTGTTAGAAATGCACAGTGTCAGGACACCATCCCAGACCTACTGAATCAGAATCTGCATTTTAACACAGTCCCCAAGTGATTTAACGCCTAGGGATTATGTTAAAGTTTGAGAAGGTCTGCTTTAGAATATACTTGACCTTCTCAACCTTAAATTTTAACCTTAATCTGATAGATTGTGGGGCCCCCGGGTGGCTCAGTTGGTTAAATGTCTGACTCTTAGTTTGTCTCAGGTCATGACCTCATTGTTCCTGGGATCAAGCCCTTTGCTGATGCTGAGGGTACAGAGCCTGCCTGAGATTCTCTCTCTCCCCCTCTCTCTCTGCCCCTTCCCCACTTACATGCGAGCACGTGCGCTCACACGTGCACACACATGCTCTTTCTCTCTCAAAAATAAATAAACTTAAAAAAATTAATTTGATAGATTCCAGAAGATTTCCAGTTTCTGCTTGGGAGATGTACCTCTTAACTATTGATACTTTTGTTGGGTCTAGTCCTGATTTCTATGAAGTTTCCTCCATTTCTTCTCACCGTGGGTTCCAGGCCCTACCCAAGGGTAAGGAACATCTGAGTCTGTGCTTTTAGAGGCAGCTTATCTACAGGGCCTACTCTGTTTTCCAAATTAAGTTATATTCCCAAAAAGCCAGACAGAGTTTTTGCTGAGCAGTTTGATAGTACTTATTACAGGTATTTATGACTTTAAATACACCTATATCTCAATGCCGCACTCTTAGGTATCTGTCCAAGAGAAATGCTCATACGGTACACAAAGAAGTGTATACCAGATTGTTAGTCACAACATTATATATAATAACAAAAAACTGGAAACAACCTAAATGTCCATCCGTATAAAAACTGATTAAAAATCTATGGCACATCCATATGCAGCACTAAAATATTCCTGTTACGGTTTGGTTGTTTGTTTTTTGTTTGTTTGTTTGTTTGTTTGAATATTCCTTGTATGCACTGACATAGAAGGAGCTCCAGGATATATTAAGTTTAAAAAAAAGGGGGCAGGGGGTTAGGGCATCTGACTGGCTCAGTTGGAAGAGCATGCAACTCTTGATCTCAGGGTTGTGAGTTCAAGCCCCACATTGGGGGTAGAGATTATTTAAAAATGTAAATAAAAACTTAAAAAAAAAAAAGCAAATAGCAAAATAGGTGCAGGAAATCCTGTCACATACTACTATATGGATGAACCTTGAGGACATTATGCCAAATGAAATAAGCCTGTCAAAAAAAGACTACCCTAGGGGCGACTGGATGGCTCAGTCTGTTAAACGTCTGACTTCGGCTCAGGTCATGATCTCCCTGTTCATGAGTTTGGGCCCCGCATAGGGCTCTGTGCTGACAGCTCAGAGCCTGGAGCCTGCTTCAGATTCTGTGTCTTCCCCTCTTTCTGCCCCTCCCCTGCTCACGCTCTGTCCCTCAAAAATAAATTAGAACATTAAAAAAATTTTTTTTAATAAAATAAAAAATTTTAAACGAGGCTACCCTATGCTTTTACTTATATAAAGTATCTAGAATAGTCAAACTCATATAAACAAGAAGCAGGATTACTGGTTGCTAGGGATTGGGGAGAGGAGAGAATGGGGAATTGTTGCTTGATGGGGATAGCATTTTGGTTCTGAATTGCTTGATGGGTATAGCGTTTCAGTTCTGCTAGGCAAAAAATTCTGGAAACTGGTTGCACAACAATGTGAATATACCTAACACTACCGGACACTAGACTTACAAATGGTTAAGATGGCAAATTTTATGCTGTGTATCTGTTTATCACCATGAAAATTTTTTTACTTAGAAGTAAAATAAAATTTTTCAAATCTAGAAACCAGTTGAGAGCTGACCTAAGTTACCAGAGGCCAGGAAGTAAAGCGTTAATGGTAGGAAGCCATCATCATCAGCTCTGATGCATGGCACTGTACGGGCAGTATAATGTGTACGAGTCATAAGGTGTATCCAGTCAGTCAGCTGCTGACATGGCCCGACATGTGCTCATGATGGAATGGATTAAATGAAGAGAAACTAATAAGAATTCTATCTGTAAACTCTCCCTGGGTGTCTTGAAGCTTCAGAAATATGAAAAGATTGCTGGTCAGGATGAGCCCGGTTGGCGTAACAAGCCTGCCCATCCTCTAATACTTTTCCTGCCTATTCTTTCCGTCCTTCAAGTCACCTTTCTGGCTCATTTGCATCACGATCATGGCTAGCAGTCTATTCCATGTTTACCACTCTTCCAGTGAAACTGCCTGTTTCAATTCCCCACTGACCTCTGATTTTCAGAGCAGTCTCCTGGTTTATAAGCTTCTTATCAAATGTGAATTGTTTACATGATTTCACTTTTATCATTGCCTTCAGTGATGGCAACAGCATTTTATTAGGTTGCCTTTTGTCCTCATAATATACTCAGAATGTGCTTAGCCATTTAATTTTCCTTTTTTAACCAAGCTTGTTAGAATTTGGGGCTCAGCTTGGGCATCATGTGAAGTCTACAGGTAGCATTATCCATTTAGAGAAACTTCTTTCGTAACTATAGAGGTAATTCCTGAAAGTATACTCTTCTTTTAAAAAAAAAAAAGTTTATTTTTGAGAGAGAGAGTGAGAGAGAGGGGGTGTGTGTGTGTGTGTGCGCGCGCGCGTGTGTGTGTGCGCGCGCGCGAGCGGGCAAAGGGTAAAGAGAGAGAGAGACACAGAATCCGAAGCAGGCCTCAGGCTCTCAGCTGTCAGCACAGAGCCCAACGTGGGGCTCGAATCACGAACCGCAAGATCATGACCTGAGCTGAAGTCAGGTGGTTAACTGACTGTGCCACCCAGGCACCCCAAAAGTATAGTCTTCTAAGGGTAGTTTTAAATAGCATGATCTAGGTTAGGGGGTTTCTTTCACATATGTCTGCAATTGTCTTAAACTTAGGAGGTTCTGTTTTTGTAGCTTTTTTTTTTTTATCTAACTTGATAATCACTAGATTAGCGAATTCTGGTTTTTCCCCACCTGTGTTCCAAACTATGAAAAGTAAAACCACCAGGGCGCCTGGGTGGCTCAGTTGTTTGAATGTCCAACCCTTGGTTTTGGCTCAGGTCATGATCTCACACTGCGTTGGGTCCTCACTGACAACCCAAAGCCTGCTTGGGGTTCTCTCTCCCTCTCTCTCTTCTCCCGCACATGTGTGCACACATACAGGCATATTCTCTCTCTCTCTCAAGATAAATAAAAAAAAATAAAATAAATAAAAAGGTAAAACCACCTGTCTGATACAGGTATTGTTTTCATTTGAGAGGTGTCTGCAGCAACCAAGATCAGGAACTACTTAATAGTAGTCAAAACAAACGAAAAAGAAATCTAGATCTAGAGCAGTGCTTATGAACTATTTTCACGACCTGGCATACTAGTAAATAGGCAGGAATGCTGGCAAAGGGTATTAACTACCCTCAATTTGCCCTAGAACTGACTGATGGGGGATAGAGGGCGCACGTGCAGAGGAATCCCCCATCAATATATTGGCACACCATCCATTCTGACCTTTAGCATACTGGTTGGGAGGCTTTGGTTTGGCTAGCTAGAGGTAAGAATGACCCTGAATTAGCACATCTAGAAGGGAGAAGAGGCTGTCATTTCATTTAACATTATTGTTGTTTTCATTGTTACTCTTCGTATAAAACAAATTTATGTACAACCAAATATGAACTAATAAGATCCCATCTTATCAATATCCTATCAAGCTATCCCATGATAGCTTGTTTTGCTAGACTTCCCAAGATTTGGTGGTAATACAGTTTTATCTTCTCAGAGTTACATTTTCGTGTTTAAATGTTTAGTCACCCTTTTTTTAAAATGCCAAGTTGTCATTAGACTGTCTTGTTCTATTGTTAAAGATTCTGTTGAAAAATCCAGTGTGTCTGGAATACTGGAGTTGTACAAAGGCTGGTTGGGTTTATGTTTATCCTACCTTTCTCTCTTTTAGTCGATTCCCTGGACCCTGAAAAGCTATTACAATGCCCCTATGATAAAAACCACCAGATCAGGGCCTGCAGGTTTCCTTATCATCTTATCAAGTGCAGAAAGGTAAGATATTGTTTGCATTATTTGCCTTGTAATGACCTCCTGAGTTCTTTTTTTTTTTTTTTTTTTTTTTTTTTTAATTTTTTTTTTCAAGGTTTATTTAATTTTGGGACAGAGAGAGACAGAGCATGAATGGGGGAGGGGCAGAGAGAGAGGGAGACACAGAATCGGAAACAGGCTCCTGGCTCTGAGCCATCAGCCCAGAGCCTGACGCAGGGCTCGAACTCACGGACCGCGAGATCGTGACCTGGCTGAAGTCGGACGCTTAACCGACTGCGCCACCCAGGCGCCCCCTTCCTGAGTTCTTTTAAGAGACCAGATTTTGTAAATAACCGTATAATTTTAACAAAAGTGTTTTAACTTAATGCCGGAATTGTTTTAGGACTCTAACTACCAACATTTATAGAAAGGAATTTATTTCGTGAGTACATAAATTTTTTCTCGTTTTCATTTTTTTCCCCCTTAACTAGTGACAAAACACCCTTTACATGCTCTTTTCACTCTTTGTAAAACAGAGGAAACACTAATTTTTGCTAGCAACGAGAAATCCCTCTTCGCTTGTAAATTTGATGTGTTCATTGTCCTGATAAGGATTGAGTGCCATAATACACTTATTTTTTATTTTTTTGTTTGTCTGTGTGTTTAGCAATGTTAGAGAAGTTGAACAGCTAGAGGTTAGCCTAAGAAAAGATTCCTAAAAATAATCATTTCTCCAAGTTTAAACAGTAAGCGTCTTTGGAGTTGGCGGGGGGGGGGGGGGGGGGGGGGGGGGGGGGGGGGAGTCATCTGAGTTTTTTTTCTGGTCTTAGTTGATGTAAACTACTTTAATGCTGGTATACTAATTGAGGCACTTAGAAAGGATTTTTAGAATACAGATGTCAGATACAGAGGGCAAAGGTCTGCAAGGATTTGCTTGGACAACATTTTTGGTATTTAATCCAAACTGCATACAATTCATGTATGCATTAACATCCTTTAAAGGGTGTTTCTCTTGTAATCTTGGAGACATGGTTGTAATGCCATTGGTGATCATTTCTCCACCCCTTTTGAATCTGTAGAGCAAGGATCCCTAATAGTTGAACCTGGATAATCTGGACCAGCAGATACCACAATGACTTCCTTCCCTAGGCTCTCAAACATGCCCCAAGGGTAAAGGTTGGGAAAGGAAGCCAAGCGATAAAAAGACGCTGTCTTTAACTCTCTTCTTGTGATGCTCTTAATCTTTCACCACAAAAATCTTTGCATTGGAATGCTCGCAAATTCCTCACAATTTTCTTCATCCTCTGTTTTTCTCTAGTGTCCTCCCCCTTCACATTATTTTTACATTTTTGAGTATCATTTGTGATACGTGTTTTGCTTCTAATAATAAATGAATTTCTTAACTGCTGATATACTTGCTTACAGGATTTGGGTGATGTTAAATACTTTGTTGTTTTGTTTTTTAAAATAAGAAACTTGGTCAGCAGAACAGACCCTCATTTGGGCTTTTCCTCAGTACAATAACCAAAATAAAGGTCAAATTGTTCACAGCCTCATTTCAGGGATCGTTACTTTAAATAAGCGTTCCTGTGTTAATCTGAAAAGCCATTGCTTTGCTGCTTCTGCGGCTCCCTTCCAACAGCTATTTTCCAGCACTATTGCATTGCAATAATAGGGGCGCTACTGCAATGCAGACCAAGAGCGTGTTTCCGTGTTACCGTTTCCTGAATATCACCCTTCAAAGACATCCAGAGAGCTCCACCGTTATAGGCTGTGCTGCCAGAGTCTTGTGACCCTGAGAAAGATGGCTCAAATACCCAATCCGAAATTCACCATGTCCTTCCGTATAAGCCACTTTTGACCCAGTATCTGTGTTGTCAGTCTCTGTGATTCTAACAAAGAAGCTTATGTTTTGATGATCTTGAGGTCACCTGTACAGTCTGTGTGAGTGATAAATGATTCCCTCTCCTACCATGAGTTTGCCTCCCATAGTTAAGCCACAAGTTTATTGAGAGATATTAGTGGAGTCGTTTATAGAATAAACCACCTTATTTTGACAGACCCCTTAATTTGTGTTCTGCAGAATCATCCTGATGTCGCAAACAAATTGGCTACTTGTCCCTTCAATGCTCGCCACCAGGTTCCTCGGGCCGAAATCAGCCACCATATCTCAAGCTGTGATGATAAAAGTTGTATTGAGCAGGATGTTGGTAAGACTAGCTAAAATGTTCCAGTGCTAGAGGTTAGCCCTAGCTATGTATTGTGCTATGTTGTCACCTTGATTTTTGACTTTTATCATTTGAGAAGAATAATACCTTTCTGCCTTTGAGTTTTTTATCTCATCAGTAACAGGTTGTCAGGTTGTGTTTGTCAGACTGCTTTCCCTTCTGAACAGCCTGATCCATTTTACCAATAATTCATCTAAAAATAAGAATCATTTTATTGCCGTAAATATGATAAATGTCTTTGTTCCTGCTTCTCTTTCTTCTGTCAGCAAAGGGATAAGACCTCTCTGTTTAGCTTTTGTAGCATCCATTTTTCAGAAACAAAGACCTGTTAGGCTACCCTGCAACCTTTTAGGCCATTGACCCCTTTTAACATAATTGGCCATGTCCCCTTCTTACAGCAGAGTCTTTATTATCTTGCAGTCAACCAAACCAGGAACCTTGGACAAGAGACTCTGGCCGAGAGCACCTGGCAGTGCCCTCCTTGTGATGAAGACTGGGATAAAGGTGAAGTGTTTCTATGTCTTTTTCTTCACAGTGTCTAAATTCTCAAGTCATTTGCTTTAGACAGAAGGAAGATTTTCCTTTTTTATGAGCACACCATGTTGTGCAGAATGCCTTATTATTTTTATTGGGCCCCAGAACGAGCACATTTGTATCACTGTGCAGACACGTGGAACGGCCTATCCCTCTTGATTGGAAGAAGCACTTCTTTACATCTGTTTTTTTCCATAAATTGTGTTGTACCATCTGTGTTTGGTTGTTACTGGGCACGTTTATTATTATTTATGTTGCTGTGTTTATATCCTTCAATTAAATTCCTGCTACTGTGTCAGGCAGGGTACTTGATCAATTTTTACTTGCTTCTCTAAACTTAGGTGTATTATTTCCCACCTTACAGATTCAACTAGCATAAACTACAGCACCACAAACTGTGTTTTGCTTTCTTTGGCAGATCTGTGGGAACAGACCAGCACCCCATTTGTCTGGGGCACAGCCAACTACTGTGGCAACAACAGGTAAATGAAATGGTCTCGTTCCCAGCACTGCCTCCCAAAATCCAAGTGCTCTGTTACCAAAGGAAGCCACCAAAGCCTGATTTGATCTCGTTCCTTAATGATGTTACTTGGTGGTAATGTAGTCTAGATGTGGTTTTGACGAGTTATTTTCCTTTTTTATTCCTCAGTTCATAAAAAAGTCACATGCTTTGTGTTAATCACTATGGGAACACAAAAATACTAGCTTATAGCCTAGCAAGGGAGACAGTGGTACGAGACATTCTTGTGTCTGTTTGGTTTTTTTGCTAGGTTCACGGTATTTAAACACTTTGAAAAAAATTCTCCAGCTACACCACATGGATCAGTTTTACTCTGGGTAGCTAGTGTCTAAGGAAAAATAATCTTAAAAGTTTGTGACTTGAAACTGGATAAGCCAGAGTACCTTTGGGTAGGGAAGAAAATGCATCTCTTCTTTCCACTGATTTGTATCTAAACCTATAAGATTTCTCATTACTGGGGAGCCTGGGTGGTTCAGTCTGTTGAGCATCCCAACTCTACATTTCAGCTCAGGTCGTGGTCGTGAGTTCATGGTTCATGAGATCAGGGAGTGGAGCCTGCTTGGGGTTCTGTCTCCCCTGCTCATTTCTGCATATTCACTGATTCGTTCTCATATTCTCTCCCTCTCTCCCTCCCTCCCTCCCTCTCTCTCCCTCCCTCCCT